AGAGATGATGTACTAAACTCCACAGCTCGGTTTGGCCAATTTCGAGTTGAAAGGATGGTGCTGGACCCAGGCCTCATAAGTAGCTTGTCATCAAGATCTCTAGTAGCCAAATCAGAAACCCACAATGAAGTAAAGATCACTATGTCAGGAAGACAAGACTCACGGGGTAAAAAGCCTTAGACTAGAAACTACACTTAGGGGGAAATAAAGCAAAAATTAAAACCTTTCAATAAGTAACACTAGTTTCCAGATGGTACTCTAGCTAAGGTGTGAGAATCTATTCATTATTTCAATCATAATTTACTAGAATGGACATTTGGGAAAGCAAGTCCGTTATCCACCTGTCATCACAGTCACTTTTAGTCACCAGTGAAGGCAAGCCTGAAGGACACCTACTACAAAATGCTTCCCAAAAATTGCCACAGGCTGATTCTTACTCTGTCTGAGGCATTCTTTTGTGCTGAAAGATTGTCACCAGAAAGACAACTGAAAGACAGATATTGCTGCTTGGGAGCAGTTGTGGCACCAGTGTGGCTCCCACTGTAGAGACTGAAGTGCTGAGCAAGTTGGAGCTGGCAGGGATTTGAGTTTGGGTTCCTTGGAAAGCTGGGAGTGGGCAAAAGGTCTTGTGCTGCCCAGAGCCAGAGCTGTGGGACCACAGTAGCCCCATCTGCATCAATAACTGAACTACAACCCTCTTCTGTAAGTCATCCAATAAATAAAATACCACACCTAAACAGTTCAGTAGCTTAAATACTGGCCTACAGATTCAGGTGTATTTTGTATTTTTTTTTTTAAAGCAAGTGACTATTTTAAGACATCTAAGAGTATATGCACAATTAAATGGAAGAAAAGTGAATAAAGCAGCTAAGCTCTGCCGTTTGCTCCTACAGCTTTCAGCAAGTTCCTCAACCTTTCAGTCCACTTTGGTGTCCTCTAGTGCAAAACATGGCACCGTGCTTGGAGGACTGTGAAGGGATGCTCCCCATCAAGGAATAGGGCTAAACCTGGAGACTGTTCTGGTCTTCCTGCCCCTGTAGCAATTCACTTATGCCTTCTTTTTTTTTTTTTTAAACACACCCTAACTGCTTTCTAATTACAAAAGGTTTAGGCTTTAGCTGCCCTATGTTCACCTTTATTTTGTTCTATGAACTTCTGGATTTGATTGTCATCTCTAGCTAGGTGACTTTTAGATCAGTCTCCAGATCCGACCTCTTCCACATTTCCAGTGAGATGGCCCATCACTGAAAACACACCCCAAAAGAAACCCATCTTTTCTAACACAGGCTTCTCTCAAGCTTGAAATCTGAGATAACTTTGATTCCTCTATTTCTATAGAATTTCACTTATTTGACGATATCTCCCAAAATAGCTCATTCCTTTCTCACCCTGTGTGGCTGCACAAGTGCAGACCCTTAGTAGCTCGCGTGTGGATTCCTGCATTGACCCCTTACCTTCAGTTCCTTCCACTCCATCTATTTACACTGCTGTGAAATCCATCTTTCAGATTCCTGATTTAAATATATGTGCTCCCAAACCAAAACTCATACATTGTTGGAAGGAGTGTAAAATGGTACAACTCCTTTGGGAAACCATATGGCAGTTTCCTATGAAACTGAACATATACCTGTCCTAGGACCCTTTCATTTCTAGGTATCAACTCAAGAGAAACGAAACTGTAAAACCACAAAAAAGATCTATACAAGAATATTTAGAGTACCTCTATGTGTAATACCTCTAACCTGGAAATGACCTGTGTTAATTAACAGGAGAGCAGGTAGATAAATCGTGTGTATTCTTACAACAGAATACTCCTCAGCAAGGGAGGAGGTCATACATAACATGGATGATCCCAAAAACACGGCACTCAAAACCCTCCACAATCTGGTCCTAACATTCATTATTAGTTCCATAGTTACTTCTTTTCCGCTAACCACACCATGGCCTATTAATTTTAGAAGATTGTCAGCTATCTTTGATCACAAGCATTAAAGTTCTGACCTATCTTCCATTCTTCTATCTCAAAAATGATCTTTCCAAAGTATTTTGTATTTTCTTATCTCCAAACCTTTCCCCATATCATTCCTCCTACCTAGAATTCCCTTGCTGCTCTCCTTTGCTTATCTGAAGCCCCATCTTTCAAGGACAAGTTCAAAACCTACACTTACACCAGAATGCTTTGGGGCTGTCATAGCACTCATTCTGGACAGCACACACATGGCACTCAGTTACAAAAGTGCCACATATGGTTAGGTGTCTTTTTACCCATGTATGTCTTCTCTTTCCAGTTATATTATCAGCCCTCTGATGGTGGAGAACACGTCCCTTGGATGTTTTACTCCACAGGAGTTTTTGTGGTTGCTTGGTCGGCACTCAGTACATGCATACTGATAAACTGATTTTGCTTTCCCTCTATTTCCCTTTTACACTGTGTAGTCTGAAAATGTTGAACTTCTTACAGGAGCTTGTCCATTAGGGAGAGATTTCTTAGCTGTAGAGGCATCCCATGAACCAAGAGAGCATTCACATTTGGCTGATGACTGCTTGCTTGACAGAGACTCATCTACATGTTGAAAGAAGACAATACTCATGATCGGTTGGAGAAGACACCTGTTTGGTTTTCCAACTTTGCCAGAAGTTAATATTTCCAATTTGGTTATTTATACTTTTTCCCCATGCTTTAATTTTTGTAACATCTTGGGGCCCTTAGCTGGGGCCCCAAGTCAACTGTCCATGTGATAGGGTCCCTCCTTTCCTCTCCATTCCTAAATGACAGCAGGTAGGGGAAGCCTGATCAATCTGGATGAAAACAGTAGCCCTCTCATGGGGAGTGAGGACCTTTGTTGTTATTATTGTTTACATTAAAATAGAGAAAACTCAGACAAAATATGGAACAATGATAGAAAATAATAAGGGGAAACTCTAACTTAATCTCCTTCATCATCACATAATCCTGCACTCTGCAAACTAGTCCTTCTCTTTCACTACCTGTGGAGCAGGTCAGCCCTCAATGAAAACCTAAATCCTGAAGACTCTGTACTAGGAGGTAAGCTTATCTGTTCTAATTTTAGCAGGATGTAATGTTTCTTTGACTGGCATTGCCCCCCTAGAGCCCTGCTTGTTTTCTCAGGTCATCAGCTCATTGCCTTTTCTGGCAATCTCCGCTGCCACAGAATGTATTTTCCTTCCTCTTTCTCTTCAGAATGTTTGAGTTAACTCTTCTCCTTCCGTAGGTCATCAGTGACCAGAATGTCTAACTATTCAGGGCTTAAGTTACTAAACCACAGCCACAACAGTTCAACATGCAGAAGTGCTTTACTACCACGAAGGGAACATTAATTTACCTGGTTCATCCCTGGTGTGATGACTTACGAGCCTTCCTAATTTTCTCTTTTTTTTTTTTTTTTTTGAGACGGAGTCTCGCTCTGTCACCCAGGTTGGAGTGCAGTGGCGTAATCTCGGCTCACTGCTACCTCTGCCTCCCAGGTTCAAGTGATTCTCCTGCCTCAGCCTCCAGAGTAGCTGGCACTACAGGTGCCTGCCACCATGCCCAGCTAATTTTTGTATTTTTAGTATAGATGAGGTTTCACCATATTGGCCAGGCTGGTCTTGAACTCCTGGCCTCAAGTGACCCGCCAACCTTGGCCTAATTTTCTTTTTAAATACCTGTTTTGTAAATCCAGCTGCACAACATCTGGCCAATATACCAACACTTTTCTCTCTCTTTTTTTTTTCCCCCAAAAGTAACACCAGGAAACTGTTGTGTAGGAACTGAGATACATAAATCATTACACAGGGATAAGACCAACCTCATCTGCCTCCTGCAAGAAATACTATCTTTGTGCTTGTTCAGACTCACTTGAAATAGCTTTTCTCTTTGTTTTTGTTTGATGTTTATACCTGGTTTATGAGTACTAAACATCCAAAAGGCAAAAAAGTTAACAGATTTAAATATTAAAAAACAAAAACAGGCTGGGTATGGTGGCTAATCAGGAGGCTGAGGTGGGAAGGTGGCTTGAGCCCAGGAATTTGAGACCAGCCTGGGCAACACAGTGAGACTCCTGTCTCTAAAAAACAAACAGGGACAGGGTGCGGTGGCTCATGCCTTTAATCCCAGCACTTTGGGAGGCTGAGGTAGGTGGATCACATGAGGCCAGGAGTTCGAGACGGGCCTGGCCAACATGGTGAAACTCTGTCTCTACTAAAAATACAGAAATCAGCCGAGTGTGGTGGTGCACATCTGTAATCCCAGGTACTCAGGAGGCTGAGGCATGAGAACTGCTTGAACCTGGGAGGTGGAGGTTGCAGTGAACTGAGATCATGCCACTGCACTCCAGCCTGGGTGACAGAGCAAGACTCTGTCTCAAAAAACTGGGGGGGGGAAAAAAAAAAAACAGGGTGGGCCAAGTTGATGGAAAAAGGAAGGAAAAACTCAAAAGGAAGGAGACATTCCAAGGACAATGTCAAGGCTGTGAGAATCTCAGATGAGTCATTTTTATCATAAGGGTATCCTCCACTCTTCCCAAAACAGACTTAGGCTGACCACATGGTTGATTCTAGGTTGCACAACTTACGGATGCCTCCTCAGAAGAGCTGACTGAGAAGTATTTATCAACTCCAATTTGCTATTAATATTTTAAACTGAAACTGACCAATGCAAAGAGTCACTGGATTATTATGATAAACACATAACTCTACTAAAACATATTGAGTCAGAAATCATACAAGTAAGGCAGACAACTCTGAGCAAATTTCCTCTGGTGAGAGTAGCCCTGTGGTCTCCAACTGATCCCTCCGAGGCTTACCGGATTTGAGGTAATGGACAGCACCTTAGACTGTGGCACTCGTGGTAACACCAAAGGATGTGGTTCACTCAGCACACATGAACTTTCTGAATCGGGTCTGGTAATTGCAACATCACTCTCATCATCTGGGCAAAGGAACAGAATATATTATCCATGGATAATCTTCTGGCCCACAGCAACAGTATTGTGAAAAAAGATCTCTCCTGAGAATTCATAATCTCAAACAAGGCTTCACTTACCTTTGCAGCCCAATTTTTATACCACCTGCATGGTTCAAAAAACCCCTCCACCCAAGACTAGTTGAAAGTGGTTTCCCAGGCTGATGATGCCTACTGGTACCTGGCGGAAGGAGAAAAAGATCTCTAGGGCACAGTTGTCCCACACACCTTTGGAGTTGATGGAAATGTTTTACAACTGTGCTGTCCAGTGTGGCAGCAGCCACCACCCTCCTGTAGCTATAGAGCATTTAGAATGTGGCTAGGGAGTGAGGAACTGATTAACTTACAGCCAAACGTGGCTGGTGTCTACTCTATTGGACAGCGTAGCTCTAGGGAAACCTTCATTAATCCAGATCTCAATTCCCACAGGTAAAGTTATGAGATTAGAAACCATTGTTAAGAATCACATCCACGCTCTCGGCTTTCGGCTCGGAGGGGGCGAAGGTGCAACTTTTTTCGGTCGTCCCGAATCCGGGTTCATCCGACACCAGCCGCCTCCACCATGCCGCCGAAGTTCGACCCCAACGAGATCAAAGTCGTATACCTGAGGTGCACCGGAGGTGAAGTCGGTGCCACTTCTGCGCTGGCCCCCAAGATCGGCCCTCTGGGTCTGTCTCCGAAAAAGGTTGGTGATGACATTGCCAAGGCAACGGGTGACTGGAAGGGCCTGAGGATTACAGTGAAACTGACCATTCAGAACAGACAGGCCCAGATTGAGGTGGTGCCTTCTGCCTCTGCCCTGATCATCAAAGCCCTCAAGGAACCACCAAAAGACAGAAAGAAACAGAAAAACATTAAACACAGTGGGAACATCACTTTTGATGAGATCATCAACATTGCTCGACAGATGCGGCACCGATCCTTAGCCAGAGAACTCTCTGGAACCATTAAAGAGATCCTGGGGACTGCCCAGTCTGTGGGCTGTAATGTTGATGGCCGCCACCCTCATGACATCATAGATGACATCAACAGTGGTGCTGTGGAATGCCCAGCCAGTTAAGCACAAAAGAAAGTATTTCAATAAAGGATCATTTGACAACTGGTGGAAAAAAAAAAGAATCACATCCACGAAGAAACAAGGCATCTTGAAAAAAAGCAAGCAGAAACAACATAATCAGATCAGTAAGGACTTCAGAAATTGGAATTGACAGATGTAGAATGTAAAACAAAAGCAGAAATAGAAAATACGACTAAGAACAAGACACCATAAAAATGACCAAGCAGGCTGGGCATGGTGGCTGACATCTGTAATCCCAGCACTTTGGGAGGCTGAGGCAGATTGCTTGAGGCCAGTAGTTCAAGACCAGCTTGGGCAACATAAGGAGACCCACATCTCTACAAAAAAATAAAATAAAATTAGCTGGGCATGGTGGCATATGCCCTTGGTCCCAGCTACTTGGGAAGCTGAGGTGGGAGGACAGCTTCAGCCCAAGTGATTGAGGCTGTAGTGAGCTCTGATGGCCCCACTGCGCTCCAGCCTGGGCAACAGAGTGAAACCGTGTTTCAATAAATAAAAATACAAAATATTTTTCTTCATTAATGTAGACTGTAAAACTATCTTGATTAAAAGTTAAAATGATTATAAAAACAAGTTATAAATATATGATTACATTTCACCAGAGTTTTATACACTTTGAGGTTACAGTTCACAGACCGTGTAGCCCTATTGTATATATTGCAAACCTGCATGCAGTTAGGCTTTTCTCCTCACACAACGGTTGGGAAAGTTGCTCTAATAATAGAGATAGGGGCTGGGCGCGGTGGCTCACGCCTGTAATCCCAGCACTTTGGGAGGCCGAGGCGGGTGGATCACAAGGTCAGGAGATCGAGACCACGGTGAAACCCTGTCTCTACTAAGATCCACAAAAAAATTAGTCCGGGCACGGGGTTAAACTTCTCTACTAAGGAATACAAAAAATTAGACCGGGCACGTGGCGGGCGCCTTAGTCCCACAGCGTACCTCAGTGAGGCTGCAGGTACGGAGAATGGTGGAACCCGGGAGGCGGAGCTTGCAGTCACCATGAGTCGCGCCACTGACACCTCCACAGGGGGACAACAGCGAGATCTCCGCCTCAAAAAAAAAAAAAAAAAAAAAAAAAAAAAAGAGATAGGTTTGTACCAGCACCTGTCAGTTTGTTCTAACAACAATGAACCAACTGGTCTGTAACAAAGCCAAAACTGCAAGTGTTCTCTTTCTATAATTCCAGTTATTATAATAAAAAGTAATGACAATAGCTAACATTTATTGAGCTCTTAAATATTCCAGGAACTACTCTATATACTTTCATGTAACTGGTTTATTTCTTAAACAATCCTATGAAATAGATATTAGTATTTATACTCATTTTATAGATAAACTGAGGCTCAAAGAAGTTAAGCAACTAGCCAAGAATCTAAATAAAGTTAGTGTCAGAGCCAGTGGTCAAGCCCAGGTTGTCTGGCAACAAAGTCGGTATCTTTTTTTTTTTTTTTTTTGAGACGGAGTCTCGCTCTGTTGCCCAGGCTGGAAAGTGGTGGCGCAAGCTCTGCTCACTGCAAGCTCCACCTCCCGTGTTCACGCCATTCTCCTGCCTCAGCCTCCCAAGTAGCTTGGACTACAGGTGCCCAATGCCACACCCGGCTAATTTTTGTATTTTTAGTAGAGATGGGGTTTCACCATGTTAGCCAGGATGGTCTTGATCTCCTGACCTCGTGATCCACCCACCTTGGCCTCCCAAAATGCTGGGATTACAGGCGTGAACCACCGCGCCCGGCCCGAAGTCTGTACTTTCAATCATTATATGACACTGCTTCTCATGGGGATCATGTTGTAGAGCAGGGTTGGCAAACTATAGCCCATGGGTCAAATCGGGCCTACTACTTAAAAAAAAATTATTATGGTAAAATACACATAACTTACCATTTTACCATTTTACACTCATGTTACTTGACAACAGGGATACCTTCTGAGAATGGCATTATTAGGTGATTTTGTTGTTGTGTGAATGTCTGAGTGTATTCACACAAACCTAGGTGGTACAGCCTATTACACACCTAAGCTAAATGGTTTAGCCTGCTGCTCCTAGGCACATGCCTGTACAGCATGTTACTGTACTGATTACTGGAGGCAACTATAACACAATGGTAAGTATTTGTATATTTAAACAAGCCTGAATATAGAAAGAGTACAATAAAATTATGGTACAAAAACCAAAAATGGTACACTGGTATAGGTTACTTAACCATGAATGGAGCTCACAGGAATGAAAGTTGCTCTGAGTGAGTCACTGAGTGAGTGGTGAGTGAATGTGAAGGCCTAGGTCATTACTGTACTGTCTATAAACACTGTACACTTTGGTTATACTACAATTTTTAAAATTTCTTTTTCTTCAATAAATTACCTTTAGTTGTACTTTTTGACTTTATAAATTTATTTTTTTAACTTTTTGATCCTTTTGAAATAACAGCTTAAGACACAAAACACTGTACAACTGTACAAAAATATTTTTATTTCCTTATTCTATGAGGTTTGCCTATTTTTAAATTAATTTTTACTATTTAATCTTTTTGTTAAAATCTAAGACACAAACACACACATTAGCCTAGGCCTATATAGGGTCAGGATCATCAATATCACTGTCTTCCACCTACCGATCCTGTCCCACCGGAAGATCTTCAAAGGGTGTGTAACACACATGGAGCTGTCATCTCCTGTGATAACAATGCCTTCTTCTGGAATACCTCCTGAAGGACCTACCTGAGGCTATTTTACAGTTAACTTTAAAAAACATGGTAGGAGAACACTCTAAAATAATGATAAAAATATAGTATATACATAAACCAGTAATATAATCGTTTATTATGAAGTATATGTACTGTACATAATTGTTTACACTGTATGTTTATATGACTGGCAGTGCAGTAGGTTTGTTTATATTAGCATCACCACAAACACATCAACACATCAGTAATGAGTTGTGCTTTGACTTTATGACAGCTACAATGTCATTAGGTGATAGGAGTTTTTCAGCTCCATTATAATCTTACGAGACCATCATATATGTGGTCCAACGTTGACCAAAATGTCATTATGCCACACATGACTGTATACAATTCAGCAGCATTAGTTACATTCATCATGATGTGCAACCCTTACCTCTAGTTAAATAACTTTTTATCACCCCAAAAAGAAACCCCCTACGAATGCCTGTTTTTGAAAATAACGTTGTGGCTGGGTGCGGTGGCTCACACCTGTAATCCCAGCACTTTGGGAGGCCGAGGTGGGTGGATCACCTGAGGTCGGGAGTTTGAGACCAGCCTGGCCAACATGGTGAAACCCCATCTCTACTAAAAATACAAAAATTAGCCGGGGGTGGTGGCGGGCTTCTGTAATCAGAGCTACGTGGGAGGCTGAGGCAGGAGAACCACTTGAACTCAGGAGGCAGAGGTTGCAGTGAGCCAAGATCACACCACTGCACTCCAACCTGGGCAACAGAGCTAGACTCTGTCTCAAAAAAAAAAGAATAAAAAAAAGTAATAATCATTTGTTTATTCTCATAGTGGTATAATATTCCATTGTATGAATATATCACGTTCTACTGTTGATGGACATGTGGGTAGTTTCTGATGTATGTTTTCTAGCATATAGTGATATTTATGAACATTCTTGCACATATCTTTTGGCGAACATATGTACTGAGTATATACTACTGTACACAGCCAAGCCCAATCATTTACATCTTCTTTATGACTGCTTTCATGCTACAAGGGCAGAGTTGAGTAGTTGCAACAGAGACTGTATGGTTGTCAAAGACGAACCATAGTCTTGTATAGTCAAAGACTATACACCGGCCTCTGTATAGACAGTAGTTTCCTGACCCCTGTTTTAAGGTATTTCAGTCAACCTACTAAAGGCCAATTAGAGATCCTCCAGCTCCATTTCATAATGTCTTCTTTTTAGACTTTAGTCTCAAAATTACAGTTATAATACAATAAAATAATCTTAATGTATGAATGCACAGAAAAATAAAAGAATATTAATTCACAGCCCAACACTGGTAAATTGTGAAAGGTGAAATAAGATCTTATCTGGTACACGGTGGTTGATATACTGAAACCAGGAGTTCCTTTGTTTATTACCAGGGTTTATTATTATGGGAGTCTGGGTATGACTCTGGACCTTTTTTTTTTTTTTTGAGAGGGAGTCTCACTCTGTCGCCCAGGCTGGAGTGCAGTGGTCGGATCTCAGTTCACTGCAAGCTCCGCCTCCTGGGTTCACGCCATTCTCCTGCCTCAGCCTCCCAAGTAGCTGGGACTACAGGCGCCCGCCACCTCGCCCGGCTAGTTTTTTGTATTTTTTAGTAGAGACGGGGTTTCACCACGTTAGGCAAGATGGTCTCGATCTCCTGACCTCGTGATCTGCCCATCTCGGCCTCCCAAAGTGCTGGGATTACAGGCTTGAGCCACCGCGCCCGGCCTACTCTGGACTTTTAATTACTACCTGTCCCGTGTCTCAAAAAAATTAGCCTCATATAATATAAACTGGTTCATTTTAAAGAGAGTGCTAGTCCTGTTCTCTAATACAAGCTTTAGAAAACAAAAACAAAAACAAAACCTAACACACATACAACATAGTGGCTTAAAAATAAACCCACGAAGACCACACATCAAGGGTGGCAAATGTGGAGCAACTGGAATTCACACAATACTGGAGAGGCTGTAAGTAGGTATAACCACTTTGAAAATTCTTTTGGCCGTATCCACTGAAGTTAGAATAGCATATCCTCTGACCTAGCAATTCTACCCATATGTATCTAGTACTTAAGTTCATCAAAAGACATATACAAAAATATTCATAATAGTATTATATTCTAGACAAACCACCCACATATCCATCAACAGTAGGGTGTGATGTAGTCATACAATGGAACACTATAAGCAATGGGAATAAACTTGTTGCGAACAAAATGTAACTGAATCTAACAAACATAATATTGAATAAAAGAAACCAGATGCATAAGGGTATATACTGTATGAATCCATTCTTACAAAATTTTAAAACAGGCAAAATTAATCTG